TCGCTCGCTCCAGTCCGGGGCGCGAGCGGCAACGGATCAATCCCCGCGGCGCAAGCGCGCTCACAGTCAATCAGTCAAATCAATCCATCAGGCAATCAATCAATCAATCGATGGCCGTGTGAGTGTGTATCGCGCCAACAGCGTGTCATTGTTCACTCATACTTATCACACCGCACGGGGCCCCGGCCGGGCCGAGCCGAGGTGGGGCGGCGAGCCGAAAGGTGAGGCCGACAGGAGGGCCGAAGGCCGAAAAGGAACCGCCGCGCTGTAACGGCCCGACAGGCCGCCGGCTTATGTCCATCTTTCTCTCTCTCGCTCACCTCCTCTCTCTTATTCTCACTCTCTCTCTCCCTCCCATTTCATTTTTTCCCACCTTACCGCTCGCGGCCCGGCCGGCCGGCCCCGCCCTGTGTCGGCATCCGTGCCCCGGTGTTTGCCGCCGCGCCACTGAGGTCCTGCCTTCTGTCCCCGTCCCCAAGTTTCTGGTAAAGGTTTGTACTCACACTCGCCGAGGATGCCGTCGATGGAGTGGTTGCGGCGCGGGTCCCCGCAGTCGTCTCGCCTGCCGCCCCGCAGCAGCCTGCTGATGGAGCTCACGGACGGCGCCGTGGTCTTGTCGCATATCCCATCCTGCTGGGATCCCACAGAGTCATCATTCGTCAGGTTGCACTGATAGTCACTACACAAGTCCTCGAGGCCACGGAGGCCGCCGTTGTCGGTGCAGAATCACCCGCTGTGACCAAAAGGGCATTCAAGCAGCTAATTACTGACTCCCATTGCGAAAGTAAGAAAATATGACATTTCTTCCAAAACCGTATTACGAAATCTGCTCGTATGAAACACTGTCAGGTGATAACGCATGATCTTCTTACTTCCGCTGGAAGGATTCAGTGGAGCAAATTCGTCTGAGCGGGAGATTTGACATTGGCAAACGATCGGTGGTCGGTTTCCTCTGAAACACGACCTTGAAAGGAGTCGAGACGCACCTTGATAAGTCTGTCGCGGATCTCCCAGCTGAAGATGCCCGGGTTGGTCTTCTTGTAGTCCTCGATGCGCTTCTCCACCTCGGGCGTGGCGACGCGCGGCTTGGAGCCGCCGATGACGCCCGGCCTGATGGAGCCCGTCTCCTGGTAGCGGTTGAGGATCTTGGACACGCAGCCGTGCGACACGCGCAGCTGGCGCGAGATGACGCAGGGCCGCACGCCCGCCGCCGCCATCTCCACGATCTTGAGGCGGATGTGGTTCGGCAG